TTCACGGGGAGGCTGAGGCAGCTTCCAGGAACGGCAGTGAGCTCCCTATCCCTGGGGATGTGCAAGTAGGTGTGGAGGAGTGCTTCCTGAGGATGTCTCGGCATCCAATGGGGCACTGGGCCAGACAGCTTTCCAAGTCCATTTGAGGCCTGTGTCTCTGCAGGCAGCACAGAGCAGTAGTTAAGGATGTGGGCTGTGGGGCCTGGGATATAGCAAGGTTTCCTGCTCTGTGACCTTGAGCAAGCCACTCCCCTCTCTGTGCCTCAATGTTGTCCTCTGTAATAGAGAGCTAATAATGGGCCCCCAGGGAGTGCTCACTAGGAGCAGCTCTCTTCACCATCTCCATCCTCCCAGGAGCAGGGTGACATCAGGGGCCTCAGTCACATCTGCTTCGCTTCCCCCACAATGAATACTCACCTCTGAGCCATTGTGCATGCTGTTCCACCAAGCACACCCAAACACTGTTCCCCGTCTTCACCAGATCAATTCGTGGCGATGCTCCGAGGCAGGCCCAGATCCCGGCCGCCTCCCCCATCGGAGGTATCCTCCCTTCTCGCTGAAGCTGTCAACATCCCTGGCCCCTCCTTGGGTGTTCTCTTGTCTCTTGTGGACAGATGCCCAGGCTTCCTCCTTCTCACAGTCCTCCGAGCTCCCAACTTAGGAGCAAGTACACAGCAGGTGCTCAATACATGTTTAAGGCGGCAGGGTCCCGCTCACTGTCCTTCGACGTGAGGGCTTACTGCTCTCCTTCCCGTAGGTGCCCCGAGAAACGTCAGTGCATAGAGTGAGTCTAGTCGGGCTGGCAGAGGGCTGGCTGGATGCGCCAGGTGTGTGTGGGTGTGTGTGGGCCTGGGCAGCACCTGCCACGGGCCACTGAAGGAGAGGGCGGCTCCCCCAAGAGCCCAGCGCCCCACATGCTAGCCAGCCAGCCAGCAGCACACAGGCCACTGTTCTCTGCCCTGGGGGATGAAGCTGCCCACGACATCCACGAGGAGACACTAGGCTGGGGGGTTGAGGGTGGGGGCCCGCCGTGACAAGAGCATCTAGAGTCTGGACCTGGCCTTGGGCAGCCGCTCCTGAGCCCACCCCTGGTTAAGAACCTGGTTAAGGTCTGAAACCAAGAGCCTCAACCCAGGGTCCCAGGGCCAATATGGATTTTGATAGTTAATTCTAACATTTAATAACTGGAAGATTACAGATGAAATTCCAGGGATCTAGCTTTTTCGGTACAAAATGAGAAGATCTGGCCCCGTGACAGTTCCTCAAGGCAACGCTCTCCGGGGCTGAGCTGGAGCCGCTCCCTGGACGGAGCTTGTGTCCCCAGCTCGCCACAGTCCTCACTGCTCCCTAAGTTTCCCCCTGGCCCAGGCCCTCCCCCAACCTCTCTGGGCCTGACCCCTGGAGGCAACTGAGTCTGCAATCCTCCTTTAGCCCTGGGGAGCTTCACTTTGTCACCTGGGACATGAGGACACAGCAGTGTCCAGCCTGGGCAGGCGGGTTAGAGGGACTGGGAATGCAGCCCTCAGAGCAGGGCTCGTCACGTGCCCCCCGACAGCAGCCAAGGAGGGGTCCGGGTGGGCGAGGCCTAGGACCAGGGGCTCTGGAAGTGTCCCCAAGGAATGCTATGTCCTCTGACGCCAAAGCTGCACCCTCACCTCCTGCTCGTCTCTTCTCCCTCGTGCATCCAGGCATCCTGCAGACCCCGGCTCTGCTGGGGGCCATGACCCCAGGGTCAGCGCCAAGGGCACCAGCAATAGGCACCCGTCCAACACGCCACCTCCAGCAGCTCATGGAGCACAGTGCTGCTGTGAGGTGGCCACTGCCAGACCTTTCAGAGTGAGAAGCTGAGCCTCCAAAGGGACAAGGGACGTGTCACACAGGTCACACAGCTCACACAGACTTAGAAGGCTTAGAAGCTGAGTCTGCTGGTCTCTCTGCAAGGAGACAGGCCAGCCTCAGATGACGACAATCAGGTGACCTAAGCACAGAGCTGTCTGCATGTGTCACGGTAGGGCTGGGGTAGTGGACAGGTGGGATCAGGCACAAATGCCCAGAAGGGCAGAGTCCTGCAGGGCGAGGGCAGTGCCATCTGGAGAGCAGAGGAAAGGCGCTCCTGCTGGAGGACCAGCTTGTGCAAAGCCATGTGAGAGACATGGCTTGTATGTGACAGAGGGGCTTGTGCAAAGCCATGTGAGAGACATGGCTTGTATGTGACAGAGGGGCACACTGGAAGGCACCGCTCTCATGGGTGGAAGCCCCGGACTCCCCCTCCTCCCGGCTTGGCCCCGGCCCTGGCAGCTGTGCCTCCATCCATCTCTCTGTGTCTCCTCCTGCCGCCCTGAGGCCCAGCCCTGGAGCTGGCTCCTCACATCCTGCACTTCCCACATTGTCCTGTCTCAGCTCAGACGCAGCAGATGGGTTCCCTCCCAGGAAGCGATAATTAAGTTTCTCCTTACTGAGGGATACCCTCATGCCATGTCTTCAAAGTTTAAAAAAAAAATTGAAAAAAGATCCAGTGAGAGAAGGCCCCTCAGTTCCTGGTAATGAGGAGCCCTGGACCGGAAGGCGGGGGGGAGGTGACCTTGACCCCTATGCGGCCCTGGGTAATCCTTTCGTCTGTTCAGGGTGTTACTGTCATCACATGTTTCAGAGCCCCTTGTGCATCTGGGCCCAAGCCCTCCCAGAGCTCCCAGGCTGGAGAGGTCATCAGAGTGGGATCACAGCACTGGGGGCCCAGGGGAGGCCAGAGGGGGCTGCAGGAGGGCGTGGGGATCAAGAACGGCTTCATGGAGGAGGTGACGTCTGAGCTGGGGCTCCAAGCACGAGCCACCATCTAGCCAGGGCCTTGCACCCAGCAGGCACCAAATCCATCATGAGCGAGTGAGTGAGGGAACGAATGAAGGGCATCCACCTAAGAGACAGCAGGAGGGGCAGCAGCCTACGCTGAGGCTGAGACCCAGGGCACCCTGGGGAACATGGGAGGGGCTGCGGGGGGCACCTGCCTCGTCCCCTTTATGGCCGTCCTGCCGCCACAGCAGCCGTGCTCTGGCAGCTGGGGAGACCTAGTCTGCCCTCTGCTCTGGGTTACTGCTTGTCATTCCCAGCCACACCCGCCTGTGTCGCCTCCGTGTCCCCGGGTGTAAGTGTCCCAGCCTCCTGGGGGTTTGTGAAGAGGGGGAGGTCAGGGCTGAAGACGGCAGGTAGAGGGTTGTGGCGGTCCTGAGGCAGTGGACCCAGGGGATGGGATGCACCAGCGGGCAGGGTGGGGGGATCCCTGCCCAGGGCCTGAGGATCCTGCTGGTGGGGGCCCCCTCACCCACAGGGGCTGTGTGGAGAGGAGGTGGTCATGGGGCAAGGGCTGAACTCCTTTGGGGACACACTGACTTCGAAAAGCTCGGGGACACCCAGACAGAGAAGTCTAGGGGGAGCTGGACATGGGGGTGAAGGTACGACAGAGGGTCAGGGTGGGAGCTTGAGACCCAGACAAGGCGGGACAGAGGGCAGTGGAGGGGCTGGAGGACGTCAAGGACATTCACTAAATGGGGTCTTCAATAACTGGCGTCATCAAGGTGGGGACTGCCCTGTTGATTTCACAGCCTCCTGGTGCCTAACACAGCTGGGCCCAGGGAGGCCATTCAATAAATGCGTACTGACCTCACCCAAATTTGCCAGCTTCTACTTTAAATCATGGAATAGAACAGAATTTGCTGAACTCAGGTTAATTAGGTAGAAAGGTGAAACCAAGGATTACAAACAAAAGCCAAACAGACTCAAGAGAAAACTAAGAACCCATACTAATAACTAAGACTCTCAAACATGCAGCCCACTGTGGCCTCAGGGCCTTTGCACTTGCTGGTCTCGCAGCCTGGAGCACTCTACCCTCCACATTGCTTGCTCCCTAAACAGCTTTGGAAATTTGCTCAGGGAGGTCAGAGCGCCTTTGGACCCAGCAGCTCTGCTCCCAGGTATAAAGGCCAGTGAAGCGCGGGACACAGTCCAAGGTGGGTGCTCCTGGAGCCCTGAGCTGGAATGGGCCTGTGTGTCTCAGTGGGAGAATGGGGGATGTGGCCTATCCACACGAGGGACACTAAAGAGCCACGGGAATGCAGGCACCATGGCCGCCCCCAGCAGCCGAGTGAGTCGCCCAGGCAGCCGGTCCCCAAAGAGGGTGCACATCACAGTCCACGGAATGAAGAAAAATGAGCAAAATGCACACCTCAGCTGAAGGTGCCCCCAGGGTGTGAGACTAAGAGGCCGAGCAAGGACACGACTGTCACAAAGTCAGGGCACCGGTCACCCCAGGGAGAGGGGCTGTTGTCAGGAGGCACAGGAGTGCTTCTGGGCTGCTAGCAATGCCCCATCTACTGACGTGGGTGGTGAATACAGGTGTCTAAACTACAGGAATCTTTATACACACGCACATATGTGTATGTATGCATATATAAGTTGCACGTGTTTTCTCTGTGTATGTCACAATTTTAAAATGGGAAAAATGAGCAAGATTTCACCACAGTGATGGATTATTATTTTAAAAAGGGGGAGAGAGCTGTGCTCCTTGAATACCTAGGCCCGTTGTCACAGGTGGACGGCCCGGCCTCCCCTGGCAGTGCCCGATCACCCAGCACCCTCACCAGCAGCAAATAAGACCCAAAGCAGGTAGTTCCCAGCAATGCATGTCCCAGCCCCAACCCCTGCACTTAGACTAAGCCCGGACACTAACCCTGATCCTTTCCTTAACCCTACCCTAACCCCTGACCCTGACCCTAGGCCCCAACCCTGACGGAGGACCCAGACCTATCCCTACCCCTCGCCCTAGCCCCAACTCCAGTCCCAACCCCAACCCCAGTCCCAACCCCAACCCCTACGCCTCGCTCTCACCCTAACCGCACCCTAACCCTAACCCTGACCGTGATAGTCACCCTAACCCAGCCGTAGCCGGCTCGTCCGGCTCTGCGGCTCTGCGGCCAGGCTCCTCCTCCCGCGGGGTCTGGCTTGGGCGGGGGGAGCGGATCCTGTGACCGCCGCGGCGCCCCCGCCCCCGCTCCGCGCGCCTCCAGAATCCCCGGCGGAGGGGACCGCGCAGGCGGCACGGATGCTCTCGACTCGGCCTGGGCGGCGGGGCCCGAGGTCTCAGGCACACGCCCCGCTCCCCGCTCCGCGCTCCGCCGCTGCCTGCCGCCGCGCCCGGGCCCGCGCTCCCCGCTGAGCGCCGAGCTGGCGCGGACACGGAGGCCGCACGTGTCCTGCCCTCCGGAGCCCTCAGGCCGGGCTGGCTGGGCCGGGCGGAGGGGCGGGCCAGCGGGGGTCGGGGGAGCCGCAGGGCGGCGAGAGGGAGGTGGTTCCTGACCCCCGCCGGCTGAATTTCGTGCGCCCCGGCCCTTGTCGCCGGTAGGTGTCGGAAGGCCTGGCTTGTCACCGCCGCCGGGCCGTGTCCGGGGCAGCCCGCTCCTGCCCTGCTGCCCGGGGCTGCCCGTGCCGTGCGCCGGGGGAGGCTGCGCCGGCATCAGCCTGCACGGTGCGGGTGGAAGGCTGAGCCTGCAGAGCAAGTCCGGAGGTCCCAGACATCGCCAGACCCCCTCGGCAGCTTGTGGCCTTTGCCCCGGGAGGGACGGGGTGGCTGGTAACAGAGTGACAGGCCCACTGCCTACCCTCTGAGGGGCTCTTGGGAGCCTGAGAGAGCCTGGAGCCCTGGTGTAACATCAGAGCCCTCGGGACCCGAAACAGAGCGCATTGCTGGGCCTCCCGAGATGACCGGGTTCTGTGGCTCTCGGAGTCTGGGCTTGGAGTCCGCCGAGGCAGCCGTGTCTGGGCGGGGCGCTGTGGCCTGGTGAGCCGACGGTTTGGGTAAACTCCGGAGGGGGCTGTCTGTTGACTGGGTACTGTCAGGGTGAGAGAAACAGCCCTCAGATGCCGCCTGACCCCGGCCTTGCTGGCCCGCACCTTTGCCTGGGTCTGGCTGCGGTGCGTGCACCCAGCGTGAAGCCCTGACCCCCTCTGCCCCAGTGTGGGTGGGATGGGCTGGGGGCCCCAGGAAGGCGGTGGAGGGGGCCTCCAGCGGCTCTGAGCTGGTGGGCAGAGCTGAGCGAGCAGCCCTGCTCACACAGGGGCCGCCGCTGGGGGCCTGCCCCCTGCTGGGCCAGCTCCTTGGGCTGTGCCTGCCCTTCGGGGCCTGTATGGAGCTGCGGCTCCTCCAGGAGGCCCTCTGTGCTCTCCCCGCCCGCTGTGTGGCTCTGGGCAAGGTTTCACCTGGTGGTCTTTATTTCCTCTCCAGGGAAAGCAGGCCTGGGTGTGGTACTGTGAGAGCACAGAGCAGAGTGGGTGCTCGGGGGTGGGCCCCCCTTCCCTGGGCAGGGCTGGGTGTGCGTGCCAGGGGCTCTGGCCCCGGGAGAGGGCCCCCACTGTGAGTTGAGGTGGGAGACTTGAGCTGCACAGAAGCTGACATGGGGGCGGGGAGGTGAGAGCCTTACATGTCTGCCCAGAGCCAGTAGAAGCTGCTGCAGAGTTTCACTTCCTTGGGTTTCGTGGGCTCCTTCCACACTTGGCATGTTTCAGGGCCATGGCCTGGAGTGGCAAGTGTGGCCCATCTTCTAGGAGGAGAGGGCCCTGGGCCTGGCTCAGCTGCCCTCCACAGGACACAGAGCAGGGCCCCTGCGCTGGCTCAGGCTGGGGCACCGTCGTTGGGTCAAGGCTCGGCAAGCCAAGCCCTGCCCCGCCTTCCCTTCTCCATCTGCTCCAGGTTTGTCCAAGTTTGTTGTTCGGAGCCGGCGGTGGTGGCCAGGACCTGTGGAGGTGTCCCTGTGACTGCTCAGTTCCCGTTGGAACTGGCCATTGGCAGGGCCAGGGATGGGACAGGGGTCCGGGATCTCAAGAGCCTGGCTGGCTGGTGGGGTGGTGTCCCCTTGGGGATCAGCTTCAAGACGTTTGTCCCGATGCTCAGTAGGCAGGTGGATTTCGTGACAGGGTTGGGGGAGAGGGCTCGTCCGTCCCCAAATCTTCCCTGTTTGTGACGTTTACATTTTATAAGACATGGTTCCACCCTTCACTGTCTCTTTCTCTCTTCCTCCCTCTCCCATTCAGGCCCATTTGTCACTTGCTCCCCCGACCTGCTCTCTCTGGAATGATCCAGCCATCTTTGGGTCAGGGGGACACCTTCTGCACCATCCTGTTGCTGGGCAGGTCACTGGGAGTCTGGTCCTCCGTCTCTGCTGCCTGTGTGTGTGGCCTGCCCATCAGCCTCTTGGAGCCTCAGCTGTCCATCAGTAAAGTGGACACACCTGCTGGCTCTTCCAGGGCGCTGGGGAAGGCCGCCTGTTTTGTCATAGGAGTGTGTCTACCAGATGGCCCCTCTTTGACGGTGAGGCCTGTGGCCAGGTCCTTCCTGTGCCCCCTGCCTGGATTTTCCTTGTCTACTACCCCAAGACCTGGCCCAGAGGTCTCTGGGAGGTGGCATGCCATGGGTGGAGCAGCTACATAACCGAGTCCACCTCCGTCCTCGCAGGTGTGCCCTCTGCTCCTGGGCCCGTCGACCATCATGATCCATGACGTGTGCCCAGCCTTCCTGGCCCCGGCAAAGGCTGCTGTGTCCGTCTTGGACATCCAGGAGCCATAGGTCCCCGTGGTGGACAAGGGTCCGGGTCAGCTTCCTGATATGGCTCCCTCTGCTGATTCGTAGAAACCAGGAAGATGAAGTGGCTGTGGGAGATATTTTCCCTGTGTCCTCCGCTCTTTCTCCTGGTTTCTGCATCCCCCACCGCCTTCAAGTTGCCGCGAGCTGGTGCTGCTCTCTCTCACCGGGTGGTCCTGTGTGCACAATGCAGAACAACCTGTGAGGTTGGACTTCTTCACTCCAGTCCACATCAGCCAAGCTCGGCTGTAAGTCCCCCTTGAAGCTGTCCCCACGTTAGCCCTGACTAAGGAGCCCCTGTCCTCCAGCTGGTGTGGGTTGCTAACCAGGCAGGCGCACATCTTGCTCAATAGGAATTTTTCTCCCCAGTGTGTATGTTTTAGATTCTCAGGAATTTCAGTTGCAAATCAGTGAAACTCACTAATGCCAAGTGCTTTTGCAAAATGAATACATAGTAGATCTAGGTTTTTCTTTAACGTAAATAGGGGATTTTTCTTACTCCCAGTACCCGAGTAACTGCGGCTAGGCCTGCAGAGGACAGCTGTCAGCTTCCTGTGTTCCTGAGGGGAGAGAATGGGGACCACTTAGAAAGCCAGTGTTCTCTTACACAGCCTCAGATATTCCTCCATGATCTTAGTTCCACTGGTCATTTGCAGAACTGACTTCTGTTTTGTCACTAAGCATTTCTGACTCCCATTTCCTAAAGTTCTTACTGTGTGTATTATATGCTGCCAGGTATGAGCTATTCAGTCATTGCGCACTTATTGAACTCCTATTGTATGCCTGCTGCTGTTCTAAGCTGTGGCTTCTCTCTCTTCCTAGATTGTTCTTTAAGAGTGGGGAGCGTGATTTATGCATCTAAGTATCCCCAAGGACCTTGTATACAGTAGGCACTTAATGGACTTTCGTTTGTTGATTGGCTGATAGTCTGGAGGTCAACTCAGGTGACATTTGCCCGATTCCCAGGGCTGTGGGTCTGAGGTTGGTAATGCTTTCTCTGAAGGTCTCAGGGTGCCACAGGTGGTGGAATTGGTCATTCAAAGGCCACCCCTGAGTCTCTGTCACCGACGATGTAGGTGGAGATTGGGAAGACGGTCAAGGCATGTGTCCCTGTGCTGGACTTTCCCAAGCAGCCTTTCCTGGCCAAATACTGCACCTTCATGGGCCTGAAGATCCGAGCAGCCTCCCAGACTGTCAGGTTGGTGTGAGTCCTCCCATGGGTCAGAGGAGAGCATCTCGGGGACAGAGCTGACTGGTCTGTCTTGGGGGAGAAGTCCCGCCCCTTCCCTCTCTTCCAGAGCCCTCGACTTGGTAGAGTACAGGGCCCCGCCTGGTTCTGCAGGTCTGGGATGGGCTGGAGAATGTGCATTTCTCAGGCTTCCCAGGTGACATTCACAAACAATGAAACACGCCCCCCCCCCGAGAACCGTGGATCCTTGGGCCCTGGGTGGGATGAGATCCTATGGGTGCCACTCAGGCTCCCCCAGAGTTGGCCCGAACCCCAGACCCTTGCAGGTCACTTACCACAGAGGAGTGATGTCCACACATCATGTTTCTCTCTCCCTGAAAATGTTGGATGTCAGTTATGCCTGGCTGTGTGAACTTGGAACACAACGGTCCTCTTTCTCTCATGTCCCCACACCCAGCTCTTTCTTGCATCTAGGTTGATACCCAGGAAAGTGATGCTGGTTATCGGGGCCATGATGCAGGTAGGCGCCAAAGGCCACATGCTTGCCCCACCCCAACCCACGGCCCGCCATCAGCAATGCTGTCCACTGCCCGCTCCGCCGTGGCTCCAGGCACGCCCGCCTGGGGCGTCAGAAAGGGCTGAGACGGAATGCTTTGGGGCATTGGTGCCCTCGCCCTCTGAGGAGGAGGTCCGGGCCAGCCGGGGGAACTCGGGAGAGGGGGGACTGACAGACACTGCTGTTTCTCCCCATTCCAGATCACCGCCGTGGGTGGTCCCCAGCCTCAGTCCAGCCTCTTCTTCTCCATCAGCAAAGGGAGCGTTGCGGTGGTGAAGGGGCGCGAGCTGGTGTGGGGGCTCACCGTCAGCAACGACGCCGTGTTGGGGGTTGTGCAAGCTGTGGACACTAGGACCAGCGAGCTCGTCATCGTGTCTCAGGCAGCAGGCGTGAACTCCACTGCAGGCAGTGCTTTCCAAATCCGCCCTGGACACAGGGCCCTCTGGTGATGGGCGCACTGGTGAGTTGGGCCCCGGTGACGGGGAGGACGCCCTGTTTAGGGGGTTTGGGCTCTGCTCCTGAGAACCACCCTTTCTGAGGGTCCTGTTCCTGCCCTCTGCGTGCACAGCCCTTGCCTGTCACCCCTGCCTGGGAGGCCCTGCCGGCTGGGGGCACCCACACCCCTCAGGCTGCTCCTACCCACACTGAGTCTCGCCAGCTGCTCCTTAAGGGGCAGGTCTCCAGGTCCCCGCCCCGGGGACACCCAGTGCACGATGGTGGCAGTGGCTGTGATGGTGGACTCTGCACGGGGCGCTTTACACTCCCCTCCTCTGGTCCTTGGCACCCTCGTGCATTTTGCTGCTGTCCCTGTTTGCAGATGAGGGGCCTAAGGAGCCGGCTGGTGGCCCACGGCCACTGCATAGCAGTTCCAGGACTCAACCTGGGACAGCCAACGTCAGGCTCCTAGCCATTTGTTCAGATAGAAGAGAAGCAATGCCACCAGCTCTGACACACTGTGGACTGCAGTGTGTTTCCAGAGCCGTGTGCTGGCTTAGCTGCTGTAAGCGTGCGTAGTCAGACACCAACAGTGTTTCAGACCTGGATTTGTGTTTCCAGGAGATAAAGAAAGCCTGGGTCGTCCACTAATGTCTTTTGCTCCACCGGAGGTGCAGTTAACCCCTGAGACCCTTCTCCCCAGGGAGGAATAGTCCCTAATTTCTTCTCTGGGTTGGCAGAGATGCTAGAAGGCTGAGTTAGGGGTGTCCTCAACTCAGGAGCACCTTCCTGCCCCGTGTTGGGGGCACTGACTCTGAGCAGGTGGAAGTTGGTGTTTCCGAGTCTGGTGGTTTCCCATCTTTCCCAGGGTGTGGGTACAGCTTCAGACCTCTGGAAAACAGATGGGAGGTGGCTTCCGCCTCTGGAGAAGGTCTCAGGCGCACGGATTCTCCCTGACACCCTTTGCCTGCGGTGACTTGCAGAGCATCTCGGGGGCCGCTTTGTGCTCAAGGCTATGCTGGAAACCCGGGCTCTAGGAAGAGCGTTTGTTTTGTGTAACAAGCTGTGGACAAGCACCTTTAAGAACCTGGTCATCCCGTTCCTCCTTGGGAATCGGGCCCCCTGAATGCAGTCCACGAGCTCCCCCGAGTTGGGCTCATCTAAACACAGTGCCCCAGGGGAGCTGGCGTGGGCCTCTGATCTGACACTGAGCTCGCTGGCTTACTCCCTTTCCTGCAGTTGCAGTGTCTCTCAAGTACCACAGTTAAACCACAGAGTCCTTTTGCCTCGCGGGGGTGGATGCCCTGGTTCTGCCTGTCGATTTTATAAAGACAGGAAAGCATTGGAATGATAAAGTCTGTCCTGTGACATACAGCAGGCTTCAGACAGACGTCCTGGAGAGGAAAAGGAAGGACCAGGGTGGCCCCGCTTTTCTCTCTCTCTAAAGAAAGGATTGTGGCTTTAGGAACTGCCTCATTTTTCTCCTCCTGGGTGCCCGGGTGGCTGAAACAGCAACTGGCTGGAAATTCAGCTAGAAGGGCGCCCAGCCGTGCGTTTCCCTCCCGGCCATCACTCCTGCTGGGTCTCACCTTGCTGGGCCACCTCCTTCTCTGCATTCCCCGTCTGGCAGGTTGGCAGATGGGCTGGGAGAAGGCCCTGGTGCCCCTTGGCAGATGGAGAGGCTGCGCCACCAGCTCTGTCTGAAAGGCATCTCCTTGAGCCCAAGGAGGTGGGGGCTTAGCCTGAAGCCCACATGTCCACAAAGGATACGTGATTCTGGTCAGAAGCTTCCAGTTCCATCTGTCCAAGAAGCAGCCCCCAAGGCCGAGGAAGGGGCCAGGACTGGCAGGAGGAGGCTGAGCAGTGAGAAGGACAGAGGGAAGGAAGGGAACGAATACTTATTGAGCCTACTATGTGCCAGGTGTTAGCCCAGGTCACAAGGCATAGGAATCAGGAATTGGGCTCAGCACAAGCACTTGTGAAAAGGGTTCTAGTAGCCTGGATTCAGCATGAGTCAAGAGTCCTATGAAGAAGCCAGTAAACTTAGTCTTTGGCCAGATTATTAGGAATATAGAGTTCAGAGTGAAGGAGGACATAAGATCTGCTCTAATCAGATTCTACCTGCCTCCTGCATTCATCCCTATACTCTGCTCAGTCAGAGAGATTGACAAGCTAGATTTGGAGTTGGGAGGGTCTGGAGACCTATCCTGTGAGGGCTGTCCAGCCTAGAGAAGAACAGTCCCCCATCACTGCCCCGAAGTCCCTGCAGTGCTCACCTGGAGCATCTGGATCAGACAGGTCTATGGGCTCGGAAGACCAGGCTGGGATGTCCAGAGGGAAGGGAGGACGGTGGCCAGATCCCTGTGGGGTGAGCCACCCACAAAGCCAGGCAGCTCCCGGCAGAGAAGCATCATGCCGGACACCCTGTGGGTGCCTTCTGGCCATGTGATTCTGAGCTGGCCTCGGCAGGAGCCTCCTTCCTTGGAAGGGTCCCTTCCTGAAACACCCGACCCAGCACATGGCCCTACACCCCGCTGGCCTGAGCCCCGAAGCCCTTTTCCTAGGATCTCTGGAGGTGGAGGTGCTGCTGCCCCAGGCGGTGAGGATCCGTGCCCCCATCACTCGGACAAGGATGGGGACCCAGCTGAGGCGGGGCCCTCTCCAGCCCCTCCCATCCCGCTGTCTGGGCAGCCTCTTGGCAGGTCTGGGGCTCTGAGTTCTGGTTCAGGAAGACCTTGGGGAGCCACTGCTAGGACGCTGTGCCTGCTCCATTCCCCTGCATCTGCTGAGCCTGCATGTCCGCGGGGCTCGGCTTCCCCTCCCGGAGGGCCTGCCTGCAGTCCTGCTCCAGAGCGCAGCGTCTCCGTTAGTCTCCCTTACGGGCACCTGTCCCCTCCCAGTGCCGTGTGGTGCAGCTCCTGAGCGATGCCCACGTCTTCCCACGCCTCGTGCACCTGTCCCCTCCCAGAGCTGTGTGGCGCAGCTCCTGAGCGATGCCCGCGTCTTCCCACACCTCGAGCACCTGTCCCCTCCCAGTGCTGTGTGGCACAGCTACTGAGCGACACCCGCATGTTCCCACACCTCGTGCACCTGTCCCCTCCCAGTGCTGTGTGGCACAGCTACTGAGTGACATCTGCACGTTCCCACGCCTCGTGCACCTGTCCCCTCCCGTGTCATGTGGTGCAGCTCCTGAGCGAAGCCCGCGTCTTCGGACGCCTACAGCAGCCCCGGCCCGGGACAGGAGCGAACGTGTGCACAGTATGTCTCTGCTGAGTGCTCTCTGTGCGTTAATTCATTTGCTCTTCCTACCCTCCCCGTGAGGTAGCTGCCAGGGCCGTCTCCATATCACCGGTGAGGAAATGAACTCGAGAACGCTGAGGCGTCTGCCCAGTGCCACGCGGCTGGTCAGTGAGGGAACCGGGAGTCCGCGCAGGCAGCCTGGCTCCGAGTCTGCTTCCCTCTGGCTGTGTCGCCTCCCGGTGGCCTCTAGTAGGCACTCAGTCAACCTGGTTGAAGGAGACCATGAGTCCCACGCATGCCCATCCCATGTGAGCAGGGACCCCCTGCTAGATGGAGAGAGGAGCAGAGCAGCGCTGCAGGCAGGGGGCGCTGTGCTGCCAGGGGCTGCCGGCCTCCCAGCGCTCCAGGCGTCACGTGAGGAATGGGACAACTCTCGGCCAAGGTGGACCCAGCCCGCAGCCCAAGACAGACGGGGTGGGAGGGTGGACATCCTTCACAGCCAAGAAGGACAGAGTGGGAGGGTGGACATAGTTCACGGCCAAGAAGGACGGGGTGGGAGGGTGGACATAGTTCATGGCCAAGAAGGACGGGTGGGGAGGGACTGCTTCTGTCTTTTGTTTGATTGGTGGCTCTTTCATCGCACCTCCCGCACCTGTGTGGTGCCGTCTCTGTCAGGGAAGAACTGGGCACGGCTCCCACTGCATGGAGGAGACAGGAACGTCCCAGGCAGTGGAGAGGCGGTACAGCTGGTGCCCAGGGCTTCGGGGGCACTCCTGGCAGTGAGACCCTGGGGGTCATGGGGCCTGGCCCCTCCCCCACAGGTGCCCGTTGACATCGCCAGGATCATCAGCAACCAGAACCCTTTCTCTTTTGGCAATGCCGTGCCAGGCCTGACCTTCCGTGGTCCATCACCAAGTGGGACATCCTGGACATCCAGGAGTGGCACCATGAGGTAAGCCCCCACCCTCCATCCCAGGCCAGGTCTCTGCTCAAGGTCTGCACCTTGACGCCCAGGCTGGTCCTGGTCCCTTTCTGCCCCTCTCCAGGCTGATCGGGGCTCCTTCTTCCAGTCGCTGCCACCATGTTCTCCACACCCCAGCGTCCTTCCTTGACTCTCCGTCCTGCTGGGGTCCAGGAATGTGGGCTCCCAGCCATCAGCCTGGCCCGTCCGCAGCCCTTTCGTTTCCAGCACGTTCCTGCTGACCAACACAGAGGGCCTCAGTGGGCGACCCTCCTAACAGAAGGCAGCAAGATGACGGCCTTGCGAGGAAGTCACAAAAGTGCCATTATGTTCCGGGGTCTTGGTCGGGGTCCCTGCTCTGTTAGCTTCTGACCCCTTTCTGAGGCGATGGCTGGCAGCTGGGGGTTTCCTCCCATAGGCTGCGCTCCCCTCCCCTTAGCCCTCCTTAGGGGGACCCGGCCCCTCCCAGATCTCAAGGCTGGAAGGTGCTGGAGAGAACTTCCTAATCCTCCTGTGTTAACCGAGCCCATCCATGGGCAGGGACTGCCTGGGTCACCCAGCGAGCCAGTGGGGAAACGGGACGGGGCGCTGACTCCAGGCTGCAACCCCAGGTCACGCGGGACACAAGTGGGGCTGGTTCTGGGAGGTTTCTTCTCGCCTTATCCATGGACAGTGTGGGGGGCGATGGGCGCGGGGCAGGCACTGGCATGGGTTGTCCTGGAGGCTGCCTAATGCTTCTCTAGTAGGACGGATGCACACCCCCCCACCTGGTGGGGCCAGGGTCCTGTCCCCAGTGCCGGGGGCTTCCCCAGACTGCTCCTGTGGTACTCAGGCAGTGTGACCTATTCATAGACACCCCATATCAGGGGGGCTCTGCAGGAACCACCACCAAGCCTGGCGTCCCCTTAGTGATTCATAACCCACGTCTGCAACTAAAGGCTCTGAGAAGTCCTGCCGGAGAATGCCAGCTCGTGTGGGTTGGCTCACATTTTCCAAGTGCGCCTGTGACCATTGTGAAACTCAGGGGGGCATGCTGCACTGTGCGGGGGTGACTGGGCTGCCCACCCTGGGGTGACAGGCCCTGAGCAGGGTGGGGAGGCAGCAGCCTTTGAGGTCAGGCAGGCAGCTGTTGGGGGTTGGGGGCTCCTGCCCGGCTCTGCCCTTCGGAGGGTACTGGGCCCTGGGGCTCTCCCTGAAGAATGTTCCTCTGTCCCAGGCATCACTCCGGCTCTCGTCACAGTGCGACTTTGCCATAAACATGCATGGCCGGGTGAAAGGCCAGACTAGGCTGAGAGTGGCGGTCAAGGCCGTGGACCCCGTGGCAGGGCAGCTGCGTGGCCTCACAGAGAGCTCTCTGATGAGAGATGATCCAAGTCCAGGTAAAGGACAGGTGTGCAGAAGCCACCGTAAGAGGGGGAGTAAGTGCCACCCAGCAGCCTTCTCCGCCCAGGGGCCACGTGGGCCTACCTCAGTCCTCCCATTGCCCGGGACTGGGGTCTGAGGGCCACCTCATTCTTCCCACTGCCCAGGGCAGGGGGCTGGGACCACCTCAGTCTTCCCACTGCCGAGGGTAGGGGGCTGGGGCCACCTCGGTCCTCCCACTGCCCAGGACAGGGGGCTGGGGAGCCTGCCCCAAGGAATGCTCGGTCTGTGGGGTCTGGCCAGGGGTGTGTGAGGTGCTGTGGGAGCTCACAGATGGGGTGACAGGGCCGCACAGAGGAGGGACAGTCTAGGATGGGCAGGGTCGCTGGCGGCCAGGCGGGGGCAATGGCACGTGCGGTCCTGGAGGTCCGATATAGCTGACGGGTTCCAGAATCACAAGTTGCTCTGAGCTTGGCGTCTGGGGGCCTTCGTGGGAGGAAGAGGCTGGAAGATGGTGTGAGCTGGGCGTTCAGTTAATTGTATTCATTTCACAAATCCCAGAGCACACTCCCAGAGGCTGCCGTGCTCCCCCGCCCAGGGCACACACCCGGGGCCGTGAGGCCTGCGGTGCAGGGGCTGCAGGTGCTGCTGTGGGACGATGAGCCCGCAGCCCCAGGTCCCGGCTAGGGGGCAGGGGCCCTGCAAGGCCTCGAGGGCTGTGCCAGGTGGGCAGCCTGGGGATGGGTGGCCCGGCTGTTCACAGATAGAAGCCGAGCCTCAGAGAGGGAGGTGGCCTGCCTGCTGGGAGCCCCAAGAGGGCGTGCCCGAGTCAGGCCCAGAGCCCAGCGGTCCTCCTCCCGCCCAGGGGTGGCCCCAGTCCCTCTCCCACCTCCTCCTACCTCCCCGGCTCCAGGCCCCTCTCTGAAACCCAGAGGTAACAAGTTGCCTCTGAAGAGCGCTTCTAGCTTCAAGGGCCCCAGCTGCTAATCTGGGACTCAGGGACCCCCAGGACCCCCTAAATGCCAAAGAAAAGCTGAAAACGGCTCCTAAATATCACGAGAAGAGAAACAGGTCCCAGCCCCCTCTTCCAGAGAAATAAACGATTCCTAACCCGGGCACGTGCCCAATCCGGGCAAGAAGCAGACTTTCAGAGAAAGAAGTGCCTGTTTACCACCTCTTCACCCCTGCCTGCGCACATACGGGCACATGCATGTACACACAGAGACGCACAGACACAAACGCACAAGATATATTCTTCCGGCTGAAAATAAAACTAAGTTCTGGCACCTCTCGTGGAATTAAAGACACGGTTTTACAGCTTCCAAATTCTGTGGCCTCAGTTGGGTCACTTAACAACTCTGTGCCTCAGTTTCCCAAGCTGACAGCAGAAGGAGTTTGAGTACATCAGAAACTTAGAGAAGCTGGACCCAGCCCACAGATGTGTTTTATTTGGTTCACTCAGTGCTTTGAAACAATGTTTATGTGTTGCCAACGTTTAAAAATAGGAAGATTTTGTATAAAAATCCGATATGCTGCTTGTTCTGAAGACAAGGCGTGTTGCCACATGGCAGAATCAGCAGGAGATGAGAAGCGTCTCCCTTCACGAGAGCTGCTCCCTCCAGTTGGCCACAGGCCCCACCACTCCCTGCTGTCTCTCTGACAGTGAGCCGGAACATCAGTTACCATTTACCGTGGTGCTTGTGCTGTTGCTTTTCTGACAGTTCACAGGAAAGTCAGGTATCTCTGTACCTTCACCTCCATCTAAAGAGGGACAAAGAGGAATACATGTTTAATTAAGAAAAATAGGAGGAAACATTTGTATGTGTATTTCCTGCACAGTACACGTGTCCAAGATGAAACCAATGAGGCTGCTTCACTCTGATGCCACCTGCCTGGCAGGACTCCCCTGACACCGGAACCCCATCCAGCTCCCATGGTCGTTTATCAGTCACCATTTAGAAAGTGCTGCCACTCCCAATGTGTCGCACAAATGCCACAGCTCTTGGAGACAGGCATGGCAAGGGCTAAGAGTTTTAGACCCATTTAGAGATGAGGAAATCCAGGCTGAAGTCTACGCTCAGAACACAGCAGTGCTGGGAGGGAGGGAGTCAGGCCAGCCTCCTCTCGGAAAATCACCATCAGTTCAGATGGATTAAGACACAGGCCCTTAGGAGGATCCAGCTGGTCCATCAGATCAGAAGCCAGTGGGGAGCTCAAAGCTGCGCTCCACGTCCAGGCTCGAGGGTCCTCAGTGAAGGGGACTTTGAAAGGTGCCCGGTGCGTGAGGAGCACAGAGAGGGGTCTGGAGTTCTGGGGTAGGTGCTGCCGCAGGGGCTCTGGAGCCATCGAGGGCCTTGGGGCCCCTGGGGAGCAATGGGTTCAGATTCCATCCACCATTATCAGGTTTGTCATCTGCGGGCCTGAGCTCGCCGAGGCCCCGCGGGCGTGATCTGCGAGAGCACGGCCAGACAGGGGAGCCAGATGAGGGCCAAGGGGTGGAGGGGGCTTGTTCCGAGATGGCCACAGGGAGGAGCTGGGTGTCCTGCTCAGAGAAAGGGGACTTAGATGGAAGCTTCTCCAGGCTCAGTCCTGGTGGAGTCACAGCCGAGCAGACCCTAGGCCCTGTGATTGCGCGTGCTGCCTTCCACGGGCACATCCCGGCAAAGGAAGTTTCCTCTCTGGAAGCGGGGGCAGAGGCCCGTGCTTCCGGCCTCCCTGAGGCGGCCCCGTCAGGGCGCACGCGCTGCGCCTGCCTGCTCCTGCTCGCCACACCCTTGGCCTCTCCTAGATCAGCCCTCGCCGTCACGTCACAGCTCCGTGGCAGGTGCTTGAAAAGCGTTCCTCATCCCCGGGCCCCCTCGGGTCTCACTGCGGGGAGAGAAGCAGAGTCCGGGGAGAGAAGAGGGACCCCCGGGGAGAAGCGATATAGAAGAGCAGGGGAAGTCCACGGTGAAGAGGAGCAGGAAGGCAGAAGCTGCCCCTGTTTCAAACATGACACTGGGAAAGATGCGCAGTTGGCTGGAAGCATCTCCAGCTGCCGACAACTGACGGATGAGTCGTCGGACATAAGCGTATCTTCATAGTCTTGCTGACAACAAACGCCGAGTCACGTGCCTGTCTGTCTGAAGCTTTATAAGGGAGTTGGGCGACATTAATATTTGTTCTGCTTCTTCTTCAGGGCTTAGCAGCAACTGCTTTTCCTGTACCTGGAATAGCGGGCTCCTGAGCGCGGACATGGCGCCACTCATCAGGCCACGCTGAGGCGGCATCCCACGTGCCACACCTAGAAGGACCCACAACTAAAAATATACAACTACGTACTGGGGGGGGGGCTTTGGGGAGGAAAAGTAAAAATAAAAAATCTTTAAAAAAAAAAAAGTGTTACTGCCATGAATCAGGTACCTTTTTACCAATATTTGTGGAGAAGACACTCAAGATACTAGATTTTTGGCAAGGATGCTCTTATGATGGTTTTTTCCTTTCCCCCCTTTTTTTCTTCAGTCCTGGAAATTAACTACATCACAACAGCACAGAGAAACCGCTCGAGTTTTCTCCCAGATGGAGTTTCTGGGGCATAAACCATCCAACTGAAAGCGTTTCTAACTAGTTAAAATGCACCCAAGGGGTGAGTCTCCGGGGATGCTTGGGGCGCTTCCCATGGCAGTAAAACTGGCGTCTGACTGACAGCGGCCAGAGAAGGGTGCAGAGCCCGACTGCAGATGTCAAAAGTTTTAAGATTTGGTCAAGTCCCACTCAGCCGAGGCATTTTGTCCCTGAGCCAGCACAAGGGTAGCCAAGGAAACAGGAGGCAAAGGCCTGGAGCTGGCTCGGGGCTGGGGCTCCCAGTGCCGGGGCTGAGAGTTAAGTACAGAAGGTCCAGGTTCAGCCCAGGTCCAGCCTGAACTTAACCTTGACTTGGTGATAAGAGAGGAGGTGACAAACAAGACAGACAAAGCAGGGAAAAGAGGGGATCAGGCCTCACCCTCATGGCCTCTTCCCAAGGGTTATCAAGATAAGGGTCACACGACAGTTCCCACGCTGGGGCACATAGCCCGGCAGGACAGTTTACAGAAGAAATTACAGGTCTGCCATCCTCATCACTGACTCAGTAGGTACCTAAAATACTCAATGAGTTAACCGCCAAGAGAGGGCATCCTACTCAGGGTCGCCGGGGTGATCAGGCCCGGAAACCAGAGTGGGGGCTCCCAGGGGTGGAGCCTTTGACTCTATAAAGACTTGTTTCTTGGTTTAAACGCTCAAAAAGAGCCCAAAATGGTCACTGTAACTTTAAATTATCCTGAATGGCCGCAACAAACAAGGTAATTTCTAAAGATTATGATCGCCGAGAAAGTCAGTCCCCAAACAGTCAATTTTAAGCTATTTACCAACATAGACATAGACACACACCAAAACCCAGATACCAGCAAACTAGTTCCCAGATTTAGGGTATAAAGTCCTACAACTCTTCCCACTCCAAGTGCGAGCCCAGATGGTCCTATTGGATCCCAGATGGCCCTGCTGTAAACAGAAGGACCCCAGATGGAGGGGAAGAGAGTTCACGAGCGTCGTGGAGGCGACTTACCCATTCCAGATTGAGCTCGTCAACTCACCAGACGGAGCCATTTCTCTCTGTACCACAATCAGCATTAGGAGGCAGCTGCCGTTGGCCCAGGAAAGCAGGAAGGGCAGTTCCACTAGACAAAGAGTCTCGGTGGCTGCTAGGGACTTAGCCAATGGGTTGCCCATCCAAGGTCGACTGGCCATGAGCGGGACCTAAGGGTCCCACCTGGGTCGCCAAAATGTTACTGCCCAAAGGGAGGTCATCTGCTCACCACAAACCATGCCAATAGTCAGGAGGCAAGGTGGTAGGAGAGAAAGGACTTTATTACAGCTTGCTAGCAAGAGGGAAGATGGCCGACTCATGTCCAAAAGAACCATCTCGCAGAACAAAGACTACAGGCCACTTATATATGGGGCCGGGGAGATGGCTGGTCTCTGGGTGGGGCAGACATCTGGTCCCAGCTCCTGACAGTCCTTTGTTTTACTGGATCTGCATCAGAGAATGGAGCAGCTGCCCTCTACCCTGATCTTTCAGCTGTCGTTGATGATAGCTATCAGCACAGGCTCTCTGCCCCGAGGTCATCACATTCCTAAGGAACTCAAAAGAACAGAGTCGTCATCTTAAAGCAGGTGGGAGGGGCCACAGAATCTGCAGAGCTTGTCTAGCCTAGTGACTCAGAGGGCATTTCAAGTTACAGCATGGTTTCTTTTATACAATATGGCTTCCCTTATGTCAACCTTGTGCTGAGCCCGTATCACATCTGTAGCGACAGTCTCCTCGCCCCAGCCTCCCTACCATCACCCCCTTCATTCCCTTCACAGCACTCAAGACCCAGCCCTCGGATCAGCACCCCTCCCTGAGTCTCCCCACCCAGAAGAAAACTGCTCACAGGGGCCCTCCACCTCTCGGCTCCTCCCACCACGGTCCCCCAACCCCCTGCCTCCTGGTCCCCCAGCCCTGCTTTTCCTCTGTAGCACTTCTGCCCTCTGACCTGCTGTGCTCTGCTCACTCTGTCGCCCTCCACGATGTCGGCTCCACATGGGCAGCAGAGTTTGTCTTCTCATCTCTTTCACTGCCCTCATGCCTCCGGCCTAAGTCAGGGCAGGGCACAGAGCGGGCTCCATAAACAGCGAGTGAGCGAACGAGGCTTAGCACGCCCACAAACCTGCTTGTCTGTGGTCTGCAGTGTTCACTCGCCCAGAGCACATCACTGACACCCTCCTGCTTGCTGGGCCCGCTCCAGACACGGGGCACAGCAGGGGGTGAAGCAGGCAGGGGTCTCCAATCTCATACAGCTCACAGCCTACTGGGAGAGACAGAGAAAAAATAAGTAAATATACATAAAGTCAGGAGGTAATATGCACCATGGAGAAAAATAAAGTCAAGAAGGATGTTTGAGCAAATTCCCGAAGGTGTTTAGGGAACAAGCAATGCAGAGGGTAGAGTGTTCCAGGCTGCAAGACCAGCAAGTGCAAAGGCCCTGAGGCCACGGTGGGCTGCATGTTTGAGAGTCTTAGCTATTAGTGTGGATTCTTAGTTTTCCCCTTAGTCTGTATTTTCCTTTTGTTTGTAATCCTTGGTTTCATCTTTCTAGCTAATTAACCTGAGTTCAGCAAATTCTATTCTAGTCTCTGATTTAAAGTAGAAACAGACGAATTTGGGTGAAGTCAGTACACATTTACTGAATAGAATCCCCGGACCCAGCTGTGTTAGGCACCAGGAGGCTGTGAAATCAACACAACGACCCCAGTTAGTGAACGTGCTGGACAGTGTTCTCCAGCACCCCCACTGCCCTCTGTCCCGCCTTGTCTGGGTCTCAAGCTCCCACCCTGACCCTCTGTCGTACCTTCACCCCCATGTCCAGCTCCCCCTAGACTTCTCTGTCTGGGTGTCCCCGAGCTTTTCGAAGTCAGTGTGTCCCCAAAGGAGTTCAGCCCTTGCCCCACGACCGCCTCCTCTCCACACAGCCCCTCTGGGTGAGGGAGCCCCCACCAGCAGGATCCTCAGCCCCCGGGCAGGGATCCCCCCATCCCGTCTGCGGGTGCGTCCCACCCCTTGTGTCCACCGCCTCAGGATCCCCACTACCCTCTCCCTGCCGTCCTCAGCCTTGGTCTACACACTCACCTCCCCCTCTTCACAAACCCCCAGGAGGCTAGAACACTACACACAGGGACATGGAGGTGACACAGGCAGGTGTGGCTGGGAAGGATAAGCAGTATCCCAGAGCAGAGGGCAGACAGGGGCTGCCCAGCGGCCAGAGCCCAGCTGCTGTGGCGGCAGGATGGCCATAAAGGGGACACGGTGGGCACCCCCCGGCAGCCCCTCCCATGTTCCCCAGGGTGCCCTGGGTCTCAGCCTCAGCGTAGGCTGCTGCCCCTCCTGCTGTCTCTTAGGTGGATGCCCTTCATTCGTTCCCTCACTCACTCGCTCATGATGGATTTGGTGCCTGCTGGGTGCAAGGCCCTGGCTAGATGGTGGCTCGTGCTTGGAGCCCCAGCTAAGACGTCACCTCCTCCATGAAGCCGTTCTTGATCCCCACGCACTCCTGCAGCCCCCTCTGGCCTCCCCTGGGCCCCCAGTGCTGTGATCCCACTCTGATGACCTCTCCAGCCTGGGAGCTCTGGGAGGGCTCCAGGCCAGGTGCACAAGGGGCTCCGAAACATGTGATGTTGGTTACACCCTGGATAGAGGAAAGGATTACCCAGGGCAGCATGGGGGTCAAGGTAACCCCCGCCCTCTCTCCCTTCCGGTCCAGGGCTCCTCATTACCAGGAACTGAGGGGCCTTCTCTCACTGGATCTTTTTTCAATTTTTTTTTTAAACTTTGAAGACATGGCATGAGGGTATCCTTCAGTAAGGAGAAACTTAATTATTGCTTCCTGGGAGGGAATCCATCTGCTGTGTCTGAGCTGAGACAGGACAATGTGGGAAGTGCAGGATGTGAGGAGCCAGCTCCGGGGCTGGGCCTCAGGGCGGCAGGAGGAGACACAGAGAGATGGATGAGGCACAGCTGCCAGGGCCGGGGCCAAGCCGGGAGGAGGGGGAGTCCGGGGCTTCCACCCATGAGAGCGGTGCCTTCCAGTGTGCCCCTCTGTCACATCCAAGCTGTGTATCTCACGCTGCAGCACCTCCAGCCCTTTGCACAAGCTGGTCCTCCAGCAGGAGCGCCTTTCCTCTGCTCTCCAGACGGCACTGCCCTCGCCCTGCAGGACTCTGCCCTTCTGGGCATTTGTTGCTGAGCCCACCTGTCCACTACCCCAGCCCCACCGTGACACATGCAGACAGCTCTGTGCTTAGGTCACCTGATTGTCGTCACCTGAGGCTGGCCTGTCTCCTTACAGAGAGACCAGCAGACCCAGCTTCTAAGCCTTCTAAGTCTGTGTGAGCTGTGTGACCTGTGTGACACGTCCCTTGTCCCTTTGGAGGCTCAGCTTCTCACTCTGAAAGGTCTGGCAGTGGCCACCTCACAGCAGCACTATGCTCCATGAGCTGCTGGAGGTGGCATGTTGGACGGGTGCCTGTTGCTGGTGCCCTTGGCGCTGACCCTGGGGTCATGGCCCCCAGCAGGCCAGGGGTCTGCGAAATGCCTGGGTGCAGGGATGCACGAGGGAGGGGAGACGAGCAGGAGGTGAGGGTGCAGCTTTGGAGTCAGAGGACATAGCATTCCTTGGGGACACTTCCAGAGCCCCTGGTCCTAGGCCTCGCCTACCCGGACCCCTCCTTGGCTGCTGTCGGGGGGCACGTGATGAACCCTGCTCTGAGGGCTGCATTCCCAGTCCCTCTAACCCGCCTGCCCAGGCTGGACACTGCTGTGTCCTCACGTCCCAGGTGACAAAGTAAAGCTCCCCAGGGCTAAAGGAGGATTGCAGACTCAGATGCCTCCAGGGGTCAAGACCAGAGAGATTAGGGGAGGGCCTGGGCCAGGGGGAAGCTTAGGGAGCAGTGAGGACTATCTGGAGCTGGGGACACAAGCTCCGTCCAGACAGCGGCTCCAGCTCAGCCCTGGAGAGCGTTGCCTTGAGGAACTGTCACGGGGCCAGATCTTCTCATTTTGTACCGAAAAAGCTAGATCCCTGGAATTTCATCTGTAATCTTCCAGTTATTAAATGTTAGAATTAACTATCAAAATCCAGATTGGCCCCAGGGCCCTGGGTTGAGGCTCTTGGTTTCAAATGCTTGGCCAGGGGTGGGTTCCGGAGTGGCTGCCCAAGGCCAGGTCCAGACTCTAGATGCTCTTCCTCTTTTTGCTTGAGGAAGATTGGCCCTGAGCTGACATCTGTGTATGTGGGACACCACCACAGCACGGCTTGATGAACGGTGCATAGGTCTGTATCAAGGATCTAAAACCATGAAGCCTGGGCTGCCAAAGTAGAGCACGGGAACCCAACCACCACACCACCAGGCTGGCCCCATAGTTAACATTTTTTAGCCCAATTTTAATGCACTAATCAGAAAGAATCTTATACAAGGTGAGTCTAGCACTAAAAATTGTAAATTTAATAACATTGGTATATTTGCCAGAGTTCCTCAGATTTTGTATTAGATTTGATCTCTTTTTTTGTATTTCTTCACATTTAAAATTTATTAGCATAATCTAATGGCATTGCATCTTGATCACTTATATGCTTAGACATTCAATATTTTTGGTGACTGTGGGAATGTATATTAATGACTCAATACACTCCGAGTCCACTCAAGTAAGCAAAGCACCTCACTGAGCTGACAACAGTCCTTTCCTGGGCTCTCGATGCTGCTCTCACTCAGTTATACGCTGACCCTGGTCTCGTGGTGTCCACGGGCCACTGTTTGTTAGTTTAAGAAAATAAGAGTCTGCAGTAGATTGATTATACGCCCAAGTTTTTTTGCGATGCTAACAGCCCCTCTGGCTGTGCTTTCCCCATCCTTCCAAACGCGGAGGAGGGAGAGCACCCGAACTGCGCCGACGCAGCCCTCAAGGAGAGAATGTGTGCAGGACCCACAGACCTGCTCTCGGGCTCACGGATCCGCAATGAACGGGCGCTCTGCCCTGAGCCACTGCTCACAGCACTGAAGTGCCTCTGCCTGCTTTTTTGTGTTGTGTTTGGTTTTTTCTTTTTTCCTTTTTTTCGTCCCAAATTCAAGGACAGAGAATAAGACCATGAAATCTCAAGTTCGCACAGAACATGAAGTTTTGAGTGGTAGAGAGACAACATTTGTTTTACTTAACTAGAGTGACATTTGAATTGAAAGCCATAAAACAGAGGAAACAAACCATTTTCTCTGAAATCCCTGGCTAAAAAAATATGAGAAAGTTTACATAACAATCAATAATGTGAAAGCATTTGGGTTTCAGTGGCTTGTGCAGCAAAGGATAAATTTCCAGACCTTGCCCACAAGAACTCATTTCTTCAAAAATAATGATAACCAAAATTTGTCAAGTTGTGATGGTAGCTGAAAAAACTAACCCTTTTATGTTAAGATAACTTTTTTTTAAAGATTTTATTTTTTTTTCTTTTTCTCCCCAAAGCCCCCCCAGTACATAGCTGTGTATTTTTAGTTGTGGGTCCTTCTAGTTGTGGTATGTGGGACGCCACCTCAGCATGGCTTGATGAGTGGTGCCATGTCTGTGCCCAGGATTCGAACCGGCGAAACCCTGGGCCGCCAAAGCAGAGCACGTGAACTTAACCACTCAGCCACGGGGCCGGCCCCTTAAGATAACTTGAAATGTAAAAAATACTTCAGAAAAATACTTCTTCCATGTTTTTCACTTTTTCTGTTGTTTCCTAACCTCAAAAATTGATAACATTCATTTATTTGATCTTTGATCAAGTATTTTTTTCTCCCAAGTGGCTGTCAGATTAAAGAATCCATTCGTCACACATGTTCTGAGACTAACAGGAGATGCTCCAACCTTGAAGACTCCAGCTCCTCCAGAACGAGCTCACCTCTGGCGCAGCTGTTCATAGGAAGAACCACCACTGTCTGTACGGAACCCCGATCTGAAGCCAAGAAAGAGACAACAAGACGTTCCGATGTTTTTTTTTAAAGGAAAGAAAGACATTTAGCCATAAGACTACTGGCTTAGAATTTAGAATATTCCTTATGCAAATACTTAGTTATCAAAAATATATTGCATATATGGCCCAATTAGCATTTGCAATACGCTGATTTCACTCCAAATCTTGTATGTTTAAATTGACATAATGTATAAGTCAAAAGGAACTAATGTGAATATTTTATATTTTGCGCATATTTGGTGTAGTCACTACTATGAAAGGAGAAAAATTGTCCAAATATCTTATGAAGTCAAAAGTTCTGTTTTTGAACCAAGTGGTGTGTATTTCCAAAATATTACTACAGAACTTTGTTTGGTCCTTAAGAATATTACTTACTCCCACAAATCAACATTATAAAATGACATTCCCATATTTTTGTTAACATAGTGATGTGATTATTTGAGAAAAAGATTACTAGGAATTAATTAATTTATTATTTTTTTGATGAGGAAGATTGGCCCTGGGCTAACATCTGTGCCAGTCTTCCTCTATTTTGTACGTGGGATGCTGCCTCAGTATGGCTTGATGAGTGGTGTGTAGGTCTGCGCTCGGGATCCAAACCCGTGAACCCCAGGCCACTGAAGTGGAGGGCACAAACTTAACCACTATGCCACTGGGCCGGCCTCACTAGAAATTAATTTTTATAATAATTGTATTATAAATCACTAGTACTAGAAATTGACATTTGATCTGTAACTGTAAGAGAGTTTAGACACAATAAAATGTTTCATTCACAATTCAAAATAATTTTCAAAGCCGCAACATTACTGTGGTTTTATTTCAGATGTGGACATCTATTCACAGAAGAATTCTGTTTTCACAATTTTCTTTATTACTTGCGAATGTTTCTTTGGATATTCTTAAAATATAGGGGAAAATTTGAAAATAGGTGGGCCAAATAAACTGAAGCAGAAAAAAAATTCACTTACATTTCCCAACTAGAGATTGCCAAAAACAGATGCTCAGATAAATATAATACATACAGAAAATGTTATTTATGAGTGATATTTTTAATTAAGATAATTTCATATGTCACGTAAGCATTTTCTAAGCATATAATTATACCACTCTACCAATCACATAAATTTTGTGTTTAAAAGAAACTACTTGAGGTTTAAGCAATGTGGAGTTAAAGCAAGTCTGTGAGTGATTTGATAAAGTAAAAATAGATTTCTCACCAAAATATGTTGTCTGTTAAAATAATTCATGAAGTGCATCATGACTATCAAGGCATTACTCTTTTAAAGTGTGAGCATGTAACTGTGAATTTGTAATTTGGAAAGGTGAATTGCCATCAACAAGCTGTAACATTTTTTAATTCTGTTACAAAATGTCAGTCAGAAGAGTTAACTTGAACCAAATTGTACAGGACTTTACAACTAGGAATCATTTAGTGATGAATACCACGAATCTTAAACTGCCCTCTATTCCACAGGCAAAGTTACTCTGATATAAAAGATCTCATTTCCTGTTTATATTTTACGAACCTAATTGAAAGACTCAAAATAATTCTTAATAAAAAATAAACTCAACTTTAAAATGTTACCAACTAAAAAATAAAAACCTACTAAATGACAATAAAAAAATATCTATACAGAAGAACAAGACTTAGAGATTTTGCCAGAGCAATCTCTGCATCTTGTAAGAGTACGGCATTTGAGCATCTGATCTTACAAGTTCCAAACTACACTCCATAACTTAAAATTCACTTGCTAAGCCACACTGAATAGCAATCCCAAAGCTGTGCAGGCTCTACGTGTAATTAAAAGATTTGAAATTTCTCTATTTCACTGATCAGTTTCCTTAGCACCAGCCATGGGAACAATTTGTGCTATTTTCTTGGAAGATAAGTAACGCAAGTATAAAGCGGAAATTAAAAAATATACGAGGATGCAGTGCAGAGCCGTGCCACAGTTGAAAGTGGATGAGTGCGGCTGGAGGCGTTCCCCAATTTCTGCTGACAATTCATCACAACGAGCAGTGGAAACTTCTGGGGGAATAGAGTATACCAACAAACCTAAAATAAAAGCCTTGAAGTGGTACCAGCAAGGCCAGGATTTGTGCAGCGTTGTGTGTGTGTGCGAAGGATACACACTTTGAGTTAGGTCATTTCATCAGAAAGGTCAGACTCTTTTCCCTTCTTAAAGAAGTCACAAGAGTTTTATGGCTCCTGCTGCAGCTTGTGAGGATGGCAGCCATTTTCCACGACAGCAATGACCTCCTCCCTGAGCAGACACCGTGTACAAGCACAGTCCAACACAAAGCCGCATGAGAGGGGATCTCCATTACAGAGGCTCCCGAAGGTGAAACCACCAGCTCTGACAAGAATTAATTAAGTATTCTCAAATGAGACCACTGGCTCCTTTTTCACCTAATGGTTGAACTTACTATGAGAGCAATATTTTATGTAAATCATCATTTCTTCTGAAAGAACCCACAGCAAAATACTCTATTCGTGCTATTTATAAAATTATTACAGAAAGAGCAGCTATAAAATGAGCTAATGAAAGGAGAGTGCAAAATGTGCTGTTCACTCATTTGCAATAAAAGCTAGAATACCATTTGCATCAATTGCTTGTCTTCTTATTTTAGTTATTTTTGGTTTTACTGTTGATGAGTGGCTTTCCATTTTAATTAATTAATTAATTAATTATGAGGAATATTGGCCCTGAGCGAACAACTGTGCCAATCTTCCTCTATTTCGTATGTGGGATGCCTCCACAGCATGGCTTGACCAGTGGTGCCAGGTCCGTGCCCAGGATCTGAACCTGTGAACCCCAGGCTGCTGAAGCAGAGCGCACGAATTTAACCACTACGCCACTGGGCCCGCCCCTCCATTTTATTTTAAGACAATTAAAGGTAAAAACATATTTTTCTACAAAATAAAACTGAATGTTAACTTATCTGAACCTCTTGCAAAAATACAAGTAAATTTAAGTATTGGTAATGTTTCTACCTGAAAATCAATTTTAAATAAAATCGTAGAAATGCAAGATCTTCATTGGAGAAACAAATATTTATTGGATGCTTACTATGTGCCTGGTTCTATGATAAAATGTATTATTTAAATCTGACTTTCAAGAAAATAAATATCCATTTTAATTCCTTTCCTTGTATTGGTGCCTTGTGAGCTAGCATTTCTACAGAGCCCTTCATTACAATGGTTCAGTTTTCATCAGTGTATCACAAATGAACATATTTGCTCTTATCAGAATTCCACATATTAAAGTTTTTATATGCATAAATGAGAATAGGAATTCAAATTTGTGCAATCAAATGTGAATGGAATAGCCTTAAATCCTTGTAGCATTGTGAATCATCACTACTAACAATTTATATTTTAGGTTTTATGAGACCTTAAACTTACGTAATCTGGGGGGGTTTTCTTTAAGTAAAACAACACAAAAATACAAAAACAGAATTGTTTGGGCCTTTCCCAAACAACTACAAATGAGGGACTCTAAATTTTACAGTAACTCCACCTCTGATAATTAGCCTAGTTTTCAAAAAAAAAGAAAAAGCTTCTCTACAACTGGGCAATAATACATTCTTTAAATTGAAGAATCTCTAATAATCCAGTGAAATCTTATCTACAATATCGAATCACTCAAGTTCCATTATCCAAGATCACTCTCTCACAGGTCAGCAAAAGGTTGGGAAATTTATTTTTTAATTGGATGCAGACACATCTACCTCCTATTTCTCTAATTTATTAGCCTTTCTTCTACAGCTACTGAGAATCCACTCAATCTTTTCTCACATTTCTCCAAGTTTACCTTTGTACCCTCCATACTCTCCTTCTCTGGTCTAAACATGAGCACACCTTAGGCAAAGTCAAAAGCAAACCATTTTGCCTGCCTTTCTCTGAACATCTGGTAATTTAGCGTCATCCCATTTAAAATGTAGGGCTCAGAATTACACATGCTTATGCACTTGTTTACCGCAATGCAAGACCTCACCGAGACGGGACTTTTTCAATAGTTCCAGCAGTTGATCCACAACTTAGGTCAGGATCTCCAGTACTTGGGGCCTCAGAAACAAACATCCCAACTCGAGTGCACACCATTTATGAGGCTCCACTCTGGAGCCTTAATTTGGTCCAATTTAATCACCACCAAGTCATATTATAAACCAATACTTAGTGGACAGATCAGCTGTCAAATGCGTAGGTGTTGTTTCAGTCAGTTGTGGCACTGGGAAAGAGCCAAGATTTATGGAACCACCCATGGCTGCTCCCAAAGGAGGCACATGTTAATGGGACAGTTTCTCTCAAAATGCAGTCATGGCAGACACCTATAGCTTTCTTTTCAAAACATATTCACAAATCCTTCAGTTTCCTATATGAGAAATACTCCTGAGGTGTTCTTGGGCTGTATCATTCGCTACTTAGTAAATAAGTAGACGGGGCTGCCTTCCATCCGTTGTCACTCATTGATTCTACAAGGAATTATTGAGGACCTTCAGTGTGTCGGGCAGTACATCCAGAATGGATGCAAAGACAAGTAGGCATAACACTCAAGAGTTCAGAGACTAGAGTTTATGGTTTTTTGAGTAATGTGTTCCCGTTAAAATGTTAGTCATCGCGAGATATATATTCCAGAATGTCCATAAAACTCTCAATTACTTATGTCTCCATAAAGCCATCTCTGTACCCTTTAGTTTGAAGGTGATTATAGCATAGTTATCAAATGTCTTCCTTTTAGGAGTAGTGAGAATGGCATTCCTGGAATGCACTCACAACTATAAATCCATTTTATTGTTCTGCAGAATTGAGATACCGCTTTTATTTTCTTGGGAAAAGCACCAGGACTACAGTATAGTTACAGTGAAGCAGAGTATCTTCCTTTCTCCTTAAGCCTCAGTTTGCTTATGTGTAAAACGTAAACAATAATTATACCTTTTGTGATGGACATCTGTCATTAAGGCCAGAATCGCTTCCCCTTCTTCTGATAACAACACCTGAGGCATCATTTAGAAACAACATCTCTCTCACTCTCGGTCCACAGGGTTAAGGACTGGTGTCTCTCTCTTCCAGCTCCAGGGAGATGCACAGGATTTAGGCGGGTCCAATAAGAGCATCCCTTTGCCCTGTGATTCATGCAGGAGAGACTCCAGTAGAGAATAAACAACACAGAGGAAAGCAGAAGGGAAAGATGCTGAGATAAGTTCCTGACAACATCATTTTAACACAAATGCAGCTATGTCTGAGGCTGGCTCCTGGATTTCCCAGTTGAACACAAAAAAACCCGTTATTCTGTTTTAGCTAGTTTGAGTAAGGAGTGTGGTCACTTTCGGTTGAAAGAGTTCTGACTAATAACAACTAAATGAATAATACGTGGAAACTGCTTAGCATGATGGCTGGCACATAGCATACCCTCAGTAAGTGTAAGTCACTTTTTAGTTGTAGCCTGACCACTTACTAAGCTTTTGACATTACTGGAGTCACCATTTCTTTCTGAATCTTAATTTTCTCGTCTGCGAGATACAGATAATAGGAATACTTAGAAGACATTAAATTAGCATGTGGTGTGAATCCAGCCAGACAGTCTTCCAAGCAATTTGTACAAAGTGAACCTATACACAAAGACAACACACTATGTTATCACTAACTCGCTTTAGTGATTTTATGTTTCTCTTGTTTCATTGAATCTTTAAAGAAAATTCCCCAGACAAGCTTCTTCCCTGGCTTATAGAGTTTATTTATATATATATATACATATATATATATTTTTTTTTCCCAATATGGAGGAGCATAGCAACATCACCCTGAAACCTTTCCACCGTCTCCAGAGAGGAGAAGAGCTCGCATTCACAGCACAGTTAAGTGTCGGCTTCTCACTCAAGCGAGGGAGCACAGCTCACTCCCCAGAGGGCTTTCCAACAGTCATCTGTTTATCCACCTGCTGAGTCTTATGGAAACCACAGTCCTAGACGTTTTCCCTGGAAATTGCTCTGCCAAACTGCCTGCATGCCCTGGGCTTCTGGCTGCCTGGGGGGTTGGAAGAGCTCTGCCTCCTACCTGACCTGGTCAGTCCCTTCCTCCTGGTGCTAACTCTAAAAATGTTCTGGGTTAATGCTCTGCAGTCACCTCCTTGAAATTCTTAATAATTTTGAACAAGGGACCCTGAATTTTCATTTTTCACCAGGCCTTGCAAATTATGTCACCAGCCCGATTCTGGGTGTTGGTGAAATAATGGCAATTCGTACCAGCTAAGGAGTCACCTTATTCAAATTAGTAAAGACAAACATACAGATCCCTACTCAACAATGTCCTCTACTCAACTGTTTCCTCTTTTTTCTCTGTCTTCATCACAGCCTCCCTAGATGTCAGCATAAGCAACTCCATGCACGACTTCACAGGCAAATTACTGCAGGAAAATTTGTACTTGTATCTATTAATTAAAATTAGTATTATAAAAGATAAAATCACTATATGTGTTAAATGATGAGTCTTCCTTTATTATAATTTTCTGAGCTAATTTGCTTATTAAAACACGGAAACAGACGGCCAACCCCAGCAGCCTTTTGGTAAAGTTCAGCATGCTTCGCTTTGGCGGCCCAGGTTCCGTTCCCAGGTGTGAACCTACGTCATTCATCTATCAGTGGCCAGGGTGTGGTGGTGGCTCACATAAAAAATAGAGGAGGATTAGCAACAGGTGTTAGCACAGGGAAAATCTTTCTCAGCAAAAAAACCCCCACAAGAAAACAAAGAAACATTTCAAATTCAAAGAAAGAATTGCAAAAGTTGTTTGGTAAATAAAAGCTTTATAGATACATGAGGGGTGACTAGCCGTCTTACATTGTTAGTTTCTATAATTAGATCTTACCAATTGGCTGCCTTATTTCACGTTAGTTAAAATACATATTTACAATAGATTTCTTTTTCTGTTGGGTTATCAGACTGCTGCTACATTCTTTTAACAGAATTTTTTTATTAGTGAATAAAACTGAATCATGAGTTTATAAAATCTTTGTTAGTAGTTTAGTGAATATGCTTTTAAGAGATGGCAATTCTATTCATGAATGGACCCCTGCTATCAAAAAAATAAAATATTTCTAAACTAGGTTAGTTAGCGGTTTCTCACATTTAGCCAAGCTTCCCATACAGTAACCCTTCAACAGGTAATTTAAATGTGAGGTTGACCCCTTCAGCTTTAGCCCTTGGCTCAGTTAAGTCCCAGTTGGTCATCAGTTGCATCTCGAGTGCCTCTGTTTGAGGGGAGGCCCTTGGAAGGGCAGTATCAACAAATACTATCTATTCAGCATCTCCCAAAAGGTGATGATGTTAAAAAGTGTGTAGGGTCAATATAAATCTATATTTATAGATAGATAGTGGCTTAAGTCAAACAGGACTCTTTGCTCTTTGCTGCAGAACCTTTCAGAATTGTTAAAATGCTTATCTGCATTGTAAGAAAAATATAGTATTCAGCGACTTTAAAGTTTACTCATTGATACCATTAACCTTATTTGACTCCTAAGCACCTACCATCCATGGTTTTTTTTTTTTTTTTGAGGAAGATCAGCCCTGAGCTAACATCTGCTGCCAATCCTCCTCTTTTTGCAGAAGAAGACTGGCCCTGAGCTAACATCCATGCCCATCTTCCTCTATTTTATATGTGGGACGTCTACCACAGCATGGCTTGCCAAGCTGTGCCATGTCTGCACCGGGGTTCCAAACTGGCGAATCCCGGGCTGCCAAAGTGGAACATGTGCACTTAAACACTGTGCCACCAGGTGGGCCCCATCCATGTTTTTTTAGAGACAAAGTTCCATTATACAAGTATTTTTTCAAAGTGTTGTGTTCAGACCACCTCTCTCAAAGTCCCCTAGGGAATTTACTAAAATTTAGATATTGGTTCCCATGTGGTCCCATGAGACCAGAGACATAATTTTTAGAAGTGCTAATTTTAAATAAGCTTTATGGAAGAAAATATATATATGCTCAAACATTTGAGAATCACAGAAGATGAATAATACAATTCATTCTAGCCTATTTCATTTCTTGGTAGTTGTCTGTATTTGTCAAGGAATAAGCTACTAAATTAGTTTTTCTATATATATCTGTTAATTTTTAATCTTATTTAGGTCTAAATTTAGCTAAAATAACATTTTCTACTAATATATAAAATTAATGACGTATTTGGAATGTACTAAAATACTCTGGGAGAGTCCCTAAGCAAAATTATAATAAAAAGTCTCACATATTTTGAAAATAAAAGTGTATGTATGTGGTTTGTGAGTAAAAGTGTATACACGCATATATATATATAAAGATGTGTGTATTTTAAAAAGTGCATATATATTAAATTACAAAAAATCCACTTAACCTGCAAATATTAAAATAATGACAAAACCTAGAGGTCTCATTGCCGATATAAGGAAGTGGGTGTTTTAGAACACTTTTGGTAGAAATGCAATCAGAAAAATCTTTCTGGAGGGCCACATGGCAGTTGGCCATGATGGAGTAACTGATAAGAGAACAGCGGTCCTGCAGGAAACAACTATAAAACTGGACAAACCATAGGAGGCAATTCTTTCTAGGTGATGGATAACAGACAGCACAAGACTGACAGAAGGGAAAGTCACAAGGTAATCTTCGTGATTACTTCACTTTCTGCCTGGGAACAATTTCCCAAGAGAGGTGCAGAGAGCTGGTGTCCAAGTAGGGCATGGTGGTCCCACTAAGATGAAGAGGCAGATATGAGAATTTGGGGCAGCTGAAGCAAATAAATTCTGTGGCACATGATATCAGAGAGAGGGAGCTGCCCAGAAGATGAGTTCCAGAAGTCCATACAGAAATCCCCTGTGAGTTTGTGGCTGATTCCTGGGCTATAAATTTGCAGGATGAGACCACTGTAGGCTTAACAGATTGCAGCTGCTATGGGGAGAATGGAACAGATAAATGATAGTTTCAGCGGTTCTGAAGAAGAGCAATGCTGGGTTAAGTTGTAGTTCTGGCCTTATCAGAGTAGACAGATCTCATTAACACCTTGTCAAAACTTCTGGCATCCAGCTGATGAATGAAAGGCTGAGCCTACAAGAGTAAGTGCCACATTCTAGAGTAAGACCTACTTCAGGCCTGCCCTAACAAAACTTATATAGAAGACCTAATGATAAATACAAGGGAGAGAGTCTGAAGTTTGAGTCCCTCTAAGTTAGAGTGACTTACCTTGAGCACAAAAATTTTAACAGAGTTGCAACAAGTCTAAACAAATTCAAGGTGATCAGCTAATAGTTGACTGCCTGCTATAACAAGAATTAACACTCTTCAGGAGAAGATAACAGAATGTAAGTCCAAGGTATTGTCTATAACGTCCAGTATTCAACAAGAACAATAATTATTATATATGAAGAGAGAGAGAATATGAATGAGTGTGTGGTCAATAGCCAAGAAGGAAAGAAGTTAAGATTATCCAGATATTAGACTCAGCAAATAACAACTTTAAAGCAGCTGTCATAGCTATTGCATGTATGTTCAAAAAATTAAAAGAAAATTCAGAAATGAAAGGAAGATATGGTCTTGATAGTGAACAGACAGAAAAACTCAGCAAAGAAATAAAGTATAAAAAAGTCAAATGGATATTTTAGAACTAAAGTACAACTGAAATAAAGATTAACTCCATGGATTTAATAGCAGATTGGGGTTGAAAGAATAAAGAGTCAATGAACTTGAAATCAGATCAATAGAAATTATCCAGTTGCAAGAACACCGAGAAAAAATGATTGAAGAAAGTGAGCAGTCTTTTGGGCATATGTGACATTATCAAATAGTCTAATATATGTGTAATTATTACAAAGGAGAATGGGGAGAGATTGGAGAAGGATAAAAATAAGGAGCGACTGGGGAAGAAAAAAATATATAAGAAATAAGGGCTGAAGATTTTCCAAATTTGATGAAAAATATTATGTTGTAGATCTAGGAATTTAGTGAGGCCCAAGCTGAGCAGATATGAAAAGAGTCACTCTAGGCACATTATATTTAAACTGCTGAAAACAAAAGTTATAGGAAAAAAAAGCTTGAAAGCAGCCAGAGAAAGAAGATATTGTCATGAGAACAAGAAATATAATAATTGCTGAATTTTCACTAGAAACAATGGCGGTCAGAAGATAATGGAATGACATTTTTTTTTAAATGAAAGAAAGAGAAAAGAGCTAACCCAGAATTCTATATCCAGTGAAAATATTCTTTTAAAAATGAAAACAAAATCAATCATTTTTTAGATAAATAAAAACTGGGAAAATTTGTTGCCTGAAGATCTTCTGCATTTAAAGAAATGCCAAAGGATGTCTTTTAGTCTGAAGGGAAACAATACAAGATGGAAACTCGGATTTATGGGAAGAATAAAGAGAATCAGACACGACGCTCTTTCTATCAGGCTGATGGGCTTGCAGGCACGTTCTGGAACTGTTGCAGCTGTTTGCAAACCCGAGACAAGTTGACTAAGGGCAAAGCCCATCCCTGCTCCCTGCTAAGGAGGATGGAGCCAGAGACTCCAGAGAAAGAAGCTGACGACCCAGTCAAACCACATCTGAAACCACGCACCATTGGGTTTTCCAGTTTTGCAAACCAATGCATCTTTAAGAAAAAAGAAACAAACAATGGCATTTCTGAGAATCTTAACTGATAGTAAATAAAACATCCCCTCCGCCAGAAAAAAAAGGCAGCAGAGCAATTTGTGACATCTTACAGAGTGAACAAACAATCAGTATGTAAGTACAACCCCTCTCTGTGGTCAGGGGATCACATTCTACTTTTAATGCAGGCCATTTATCTCCTATCTGCACCTCTACATTTCAAAAGTCTTTTTTAAAAAATTCCTTTGGTGGAAAAGCCTGTCCTGACTTGAGCTAAATTGGTCACAAAACCTGACCTGCACTTACTTGAGGCTATTTATGGTCTTTATTTACTGCACTTGGTTTGCAGATTTCTGTGTTTCCCTGCAGAAATAGCACTGTGAATTTCAGGGATGTGACCAAGGTTTTGTGAGCCATTTTACCTAACATACGTGTGGGCATTACTTTTTCGTATTCAAAGGCTTCTGCATCCTGAAACACATTTGTTTTCACATACGGGAATAAAAAGTGGGATTGCTTTTCTTTCTTTTTTTGTTCATTTCTTCTCTAGAGTTTTTAAAAAATCGTATGTAACTTGAGCAACAAGAAGTAGTAATTTAAGAGATATAAGTAAGTGAAGCTATAAATTGACATCATGTTCCAGTTATAACTAAAATGATAAAGTAGAATGTAATATGCACAAGCAGACCTCCTAAAGTGACTAACTCAGGAGGCTGCTGTTGAGTCCGCCTAACGGCAGTTACGCTGGAAAGGACACAACCAATTAGCAGTGTTCCCCCACATGCTGAACACTCGGTATGTGCGTAACTGTGCTCTGTGACGGTTCTTTCTGCAGTCAGCTCTCAGGAGTAAATGACTATTGCTCATTAACAGCCCAGTTCACGGCAGTTCCTATACCATCACTGAAAAAGACAATACAGCCACTCCCCAAACCTGCAATAATGTTCTCTACTTCCATCTTACCCATTCTGGTTTTACACTTGCAAGTGGTGTAAACCTGAGCAAAGCTGCTCCCGGGGTCCTTTTTGTTTCTCTATAAAATGTGGAGACAGCGTTTGCCTTCCATAACCGACAAGTCTGTTCAAGATGAAAGGAGAGAGCCTGCGCCAACCTTCCTCGTAAACTCTTCAGAGAGGATAATTTTACTCGCCAGGGTCGGAAATTGTCCTTCCTTATGCCCACTCTTTGCCTGGCACATAAATTATTTACTATGCTTATATACCAGTGTCTTACTTATATCTGTAACTTCCAAACAAAAGAAATGCCTCCCATATATTACCAGCAGATTCATCTAGGATCTGTCATTAAAGTTTTTTCTCCCCACTTTTCCTAATAGAGTGTGTACTCAAATTTAGGTAATACTGTGTAATATTTATACACCTCCAGTTCATTGCCTGTTTCCTCCCACAAGAATATGACTCTGTGAAAGGAAAGACCACTGTGTGTGCCGTTGACCACTTATGTCTCGTGAATAGAGTAGTATCAGGATTCATAATAGGAATTCAAAACTATTTATGAATGCATATATATACTTATACACCCAAATATACATTTATATTCATAGATATGTATGCTCAATTTCAATAAATATTTATCTACTATATATGCACACGTGTATACATACCTGTTGAATGCTTACTAATTCCTAGGCTGTACGTTCAGGGTTTTACTTGTCTCATCTCTTTAATCTGTAGAATAAAGTCCATAAAGTAGGTATGTTTAAGGAAAGCAGACTTGGAGCTGTTATATAATTTGCTCAAGGTTATAAAACTGATAAGTGATAGAGGGCAGGATTTAAACCTAGGTCCTTTGAATGTCCAAGCATGCTCCCTAATTCTTACCTTAGAATTCATCCCAAAACAACTTTTTATAACTACTCTAACACGTTATTCTGTATTTAACAAGGTTTGGGGAAAATCTCAAGCAAAATTAGAGCTGGTTGTTACGAGGAAAGTCTCTGGAAATTTTAATTTGCCATATCACACTGCATATGTACGTCTAGAATTTTATAGGTAAACACACACATGCTTGTATCCATCCTGCTGTGGAAAGTTCTGGAGCTGGAGTTCTATATTTAGATAGGTTAATTGAAAAGTAGACTTCTGGGGCAAAGTTGAAAGAGAAGTCAAGGTCAACGATTTTACTAAACTGGCAATTATACAAGGAGCGACTGAATTATAAGTTTTGATTTAGTTGCGGCTTACCAAAAAATCAGAAAAGACCAAAATGTGCCATTTTAAACATTTCACTTAATTATTTATTCAACTAATGTGTCTGTCTTCATGAAAAATATCTGCTGTATCTAATGTATCAAAAATGTATCTAATAAGTTTGCAATATAATAAGTTTGTTTATTTTGATTCTAGAAGCTAATTTTCTCTGTGAGGGTTAAAAAATATAATCTAGTATTAGAGCAAGCGATAACCCATCAACATACAGATTATTATAGTTATTTCCTGGTGATATAGCTAACGAATACTCAAATAGAGTCTCAGGAATCACTGAAATTAATGTTTTAGGAATTTGTAATTACTAAAATTTACACATCACGTGTTAGTGTCCCTGACTGCATTATGTTGTGAATCTTTTATTTACATTTCAATTTCAAACAAATAGACTTACTTTGCATAATGCAGATGTACATTCTATGTAAGGTTTTCCTGATCCTACACAGGATGCAACAATTAAATTTCCAAAGATGCAAACCTGGGACCAACTCTTTCTAATTAACCCTGCATTGTTTCGGGGAAGAATTACTCCTGTCAGATTAATGAATTTTATGGTCACTACTTAACCTATTTGCCTGCACCATTTTTATCATAAGATAGGCTGTTCTGCACAGGTTTTCAAAGTTTAAGCCTCACACAGAAACCAGCCTGGAACATCTTCCTGCGTTTCTGGATGCTCGAGTGAAGAAAGCAGCGTTCCCGTCTACATCTGGTCAGCTCTCAACCCACCGTTTGCTTGCCCACGTGAATTCTTTCTACTTCCGCCTGTTCTTCTCACTCTTTCCCCCTGGAATGGTTACTCTCCTCTCAAACTTGACGGGTCTGTAAGAAGACAGGACCACGAGGAAAGCAGTGTCTTACAGGGACACTGAGACCTAACTGTGCCATGTCTGACAATCTTGACCACTGCTCTTCCCTGTCTGCTGCTCTCTTTTCTCAAGGCCACCAGGATACTCCTTCCCTTTATGCTCCTGTTACTTTCACGATCACTCCTTCTTCATCTTGGCAAATACTCTTGATTTTCCTACCCCTTACCTGAGCACCCCAGAGCCAAATCCATATCTACATGGTCTCCTAGAGTGACCTCAAGGATTGTCATGGACTCAGCTAACACCTACACTGCTAATAACTGTCATACCTACATCTCTAGCATAGCCCTCTCTGCTGAAGTGTATCTACAATAACACCCACGTTTACTTATCACCTGGATGGTCTGCCAATCTTTAACTCAGTGTGAGACAGACCTGGGTTGGAATTTAATTATGTACTATTCCAAACAGCTTCACAACTCTGTGTCGGTGTCGCAATCCAATGTACACATCAGGATAGATGTGGAGAGGGCTGATGGCCACTCTGAGTTTATTATAACCAGCGTTTCAATATATACATAGCTTACAGCTGTTAAACATACACAGGTGTTCTGGATGAAGTAATTAGCGAATGCCAAGAATTCTTAGTGATTTCTCAAGGAGCCCTCCCTTGGCCTCTGTTTTGATATTATCATGTTATTGCTGTGCTCCTGTATTTTTATCTTGGAGCAGGCAAGGTCTCTTAGGCAACGGTCCCTCCTGCTCCCGATATCAATACTGTTTCTCCATCTGTGCCCCCCGGGGGGCCGCCACCTGGCTTAGGTTGCCCCCCCCCCACCGGGGGTCTTACCCGTCATTGGCTAACCGGCCTTCTCACTTCCGGGTCACAGTTTGTTGGCAAGCTTTTTCCAGTGATTATTAACCCTTCCTGTGTCAGGGGCAGCTACACTAAGCAAGCCATTTAACCTCTCAAACCTCAGTTTACAAAACTGTGAAATGAGGATAATGATTCTCTCTCATTGGGTTGCCTCGAGTTTCTAAGGAGATGACGTCTCTTAGGTGAGAAATTCAGTCTCTGATGCACAACAGGTGATAGGAAAGGACAGGTGTGCCATTCAAAAAGGAATTCATTCCTCTCCAAATCTGCTTGCTGACTCTATGTTCCCTTGACCAGTGAATGGTACTTCTTTCCACCTATTTGCCAAGCCACAAATCTACAAAACACTCTAGACATTTTTCACCCTCCAACCTTTTCCAAATCAACTTGTTATCATCAAGTCCTTTCCTCTTCCTAAATATCTCTCGAACTTGATAACCCCTCTCAACCTCTGACTTCTAACCCCTGTCTTAATCTAGGCTCTCATTATTTCTTGCCTCTAACAACCAAAAAGTCTCCTAACTGGCCTTCTTTTCTGTCTGTATTGTATCCTCCACATCATTGCCAAAGTGCTGGATCTACAATGTACATGGGCAGTGGCTGACTCACCCTAAGGGGACCCCTCATGAGTCCCACCCTTATATAACTTCCCGTGAGTGCAGGTGGAACGTAACGTGTGACTTGCTTCTAACCAACAGAATAATGCAGAGATGATGGAGTGTCAGTCCCATGACTATGCCACATTGTATGAGACACCATTTTATCAGATTGAAGGGAGAGATTCTGCTCACCTTGAAGGAGTGAAAAACCATATATTGAATGGCCATTGAAGAGATGCATGTGGCAGGGAACCTCAGTGGCCTCGTTCCTGCATCAGAACTTAATTTTTCCAAATGATGTCAGTTTGGAAGAGACCTTGAACTCCAGAAAGGAATGCAGTCTGGCTCACACTCTGATTGCAGCCCCATGAGACCTTGAGCGGAGAGCCCAGCTATGAGTTCATCTACGAAAACTGTGAGATAGATAACAAACATGAGTAGTTTTAAGGCGCTAATTTTGTGGTAATTTGATATGCAACAATAGAAAACTATCTCCAAAGCGTATCAGCCATCACTCCCTTCCTGGACACTACAGATCCTTATGTTATAAACCATAAGGCACTGCTCTCCACGATGAGTTTACAGTGCTCTTTCCCCCCGATAGCTCCTTGAGGAATTCTCTTACTCTTCCAAATCTGTGCTGATCAACTTTAACCTTCTCTATGAGGCAAGTCCTGACCACAAATCTCCTTTCACTGGCTTTGCCGTTTTTTTCATAGCACTTATCAACTTCAAACAGGTTATATGATTTTCTTCTTTATTACGGTCATTTTCTCTTCCAGTAGAATGTAAGCTCCTCCAGGGCAGAGCTCTTAGTGTCTTTGGTTCACTGATGTATCCCAAGCACCTGTAAGATGCCTGCCACATAATAGATGCTCAATAATATTGACTGACTTGGATCGAATTGCCTCCTCCATTGGGCCACAAGCTCCTTAAAGGAAAGTGCTTGTCGCTATTCTTCTTTATACATCATAAGCCCTGACATGCAACAGGCTCAGTAATTTCTACTGAGTGAATAAATAACATCGTTGTAATGTTTTACTATGTTCATCTCTACTCGTTGAGAAAGAGCTATAGAACATAGCATGCTATCTTTTTGCATCAGTCTGTAAGGGCTCTGCTAGAGTTTTAAAACATCAAAATTGGTTATTCTTTATTTTAGAAATTCTTAAGAGGAAAATCAAATAGTTTTATTCCAGTTTTTCAATTAAGCTAGAATACAAAACTCAGTTGTATTAATTTCTGTATTGCTGCTAGAACAAATTATCACCAATTTTGTGGAAAGGTCTTCTGCTTTCAAGAAGTCACGTGATTAGATTGGGCGCACCCAGACGATTCAGGAAAATCTCCTCCTCTCCAAATCTACAACATTAATCATATCTGCAAAGCTCCTCTGCCCTGTAAGGTGACATATCCACCGGTTCTGAGGGTTAGGACATAATCGTTCTATCTACATCGTCAGTGGAAGAGGAAAATCAGCATACAGCTAAGTGAAACATGCATGACTCCATGCCACAGACTCACCTCCGAATACCCAGTTTCAAATCTTTTTGTTTCAATTTACTCTACATTTCATACTCTAAAATGAAACATTTCTTTCCATTTTCTACAATTTGAACTCTTCTCAGTTCAATAAAAAATATTTAAAGGGCGGGTCCCGTGGGTGAGTGGTTAAGTTCGTGCACTCCGTTTTGGTGGCCCAGGATTTCATGGGTTCAGATCCTGGGCACAGACACGGCACCGCTCATTAGGCCACACTGGGGTGGCATCCCACATGCCACAGCTAGAAGGACCCACAACTAAAATATACAAATATGTACTGGGGGGACTTCGGGAGAAAAAGAAGAAAAAAAATTTAAAAACTGGCTTTCCACAAATCCCCCTTTCTTTTGTTTTTTTAAGCTTGGCCCTGAGCTAACATCTGTTGCCAATCTTCTTCTTTTTTCTTCCTTCTCCCCAAAGCCCCTCAATACACAGTTGTACCTTCTAGTTGTAGGTCCTTCTGGTTCTGCTATGTAGGATGCCGCCTCAGCACGGCTTGAGGAGCAGTGCTAGGTCCGTGCCTAGGATCCGAACCTGCAAATCCCTGGGCCATGGAAGCAAAGTGCGAGAACTTAACCACTCTGCCATGGGGCGGCTCCCAGAAATCCCACTTTCCAACTGACAGCCAGCTG